CCATTTAACAGGTTTTTACTGTAGCATTTTTACAGTCTTTTACCGTTAAATTCACGGTCATTTTTTACAGTGTATTTTATCACTTTATATTAAATTAAAATCTCAGGGGGACTTCAAGTAAATATTTTAGATCAAAGGGGTTTGGTTAATAAATATTATTTATTAATTAATTTATTAATATTTTGAATTAGTTTTTAATTTCGTTGTGTCTATGTCATTGTTATATGTATTTTTATCATACATTTTATATATATATATATATATATATGTCTATATTGCTTTTATTTATTTATTTTTCAGTTTTATTTGAATTATTTTAGTACATCAAGTTAAACTAGAAACCTGAAGCTGAAATAAAATAAGTTTAGGGTTTATATATATATATACACCTTTTTTTATACACTACTAGTCAAGAATCTTATTTTCACCAAGGCTGCATTTATTTGATTCAAAATACATTAAAACAGTGAAATACTACTAAAATTAAAAATAGCTGTTTTCTTTGTGAATATATTATATATATATAAGATGTATTATAATTTTCAGCATTACTCCAGTCTTCAGTGTCACATGATCCTTCAGAAATAATTCTAATATGCTGATTTGCTTCTCAGTTATGGTTCTTTTTTTTGAAATAGTAAAATTGTCCCGTTGTCTCTCTGTGCTGCAGTGTCGTTCTCAGAGGTCCAGTCATCTGGAGAAACTGTGGCGTGTCTCTCGGATCTCGTCCCAAAGCCATCTCAAGCCCCGCCCTCTGTGAAGCCCGTGCCGTCGCCTAGCGACAGCGCTGACATCACTCACGTGAGGCCGTCGTCGCTGAAGCAGCCTCCTGCCTTACTGCCGAAGCCATACAGCCGGATCCCCAACCATCTGACAGGTGAGGCCTGTGCCGCTCCTCCGTCTCCCACGAACACCAGCGCAGAGAACTAAACTCTGCCTGTTCTTCTCTTCAGAGACACTGGCCAGACTGTCGCCGCCTCTGCCTCCAAAGAAAGTGATGATCTGTGAGCCGGCACCCTCGTTTCCCCTCAAATGCCTGCCGTCCCAGGGCTCGCACACACACACACACACTCACACACACAAGAAAGTGATGATCTGTGAGCCGGCACCCTCGTTTCCCCTCAAATGCCTGCCGTCCCAGGGCTCGCACACACACACACACACACTCACACACACACACCCGCAGCAGTACGCCACACTGCCACTGTCACTGCATCCACCCAGCCGCATCATAGAGGAGCTCAACAAAACACTCGCGCTCACCATGCAGAGACTCGAGAGGTGAGGACGAGGTGCACAAAAGATACATACGCACACACACACACACACACACACACACACACACACACACACACTAGGGCTGTCAAAAATGAATTCTAATTTTGCACTTAAATATTATCAATATTCGAATATAAAAGGCATAATTTCAGTTGGGGAAATAAGCTTTTGGCTTCTCTCCTGAGGCCACAAGAGGGCGCATCGAGCAAAATATTACTAATGCACGTTTATTAAAGCAATAAAATAAAATGACTATCTGTGAAAAAGTGCATAATGTTCATAAACCAAATATAATTAATTTTATATCATATAAAAAGTTGCTTAAACAATTATAAAGAAAACAGCATCATGTGTGCATAGTTTAATACAAAGGGACGAAAGCCAATCACACAGAGTACTTTTTTCATTTAAAAACATGAGATGCAGTGGAATGGGAAAAACCACCATAAAGTCTCGAGGCATGTTTTTTAAAAGTTGAACTTGTGGCTTTCTAAACATGCGGCTCTCTTGTGTGAGACGTGAGTGCAACCGTGATGTCCATCTAGAAAATGCAATAAATATGTGTTCTGTGTGAACAGCTTGGTTTCAGTTTTGACGTAAACCAGATCTTCTCCGCATTGATGTTCTCTTTTTCCACAATATTTTGAAGGAACAACGCAGCAGCGCCGCATCTAGTGGCTTCAACGGGATAAGCTAAAAAAACATTAAAAAGCAATGACACTTACATTGTCATCGCATTTAGTGCGATTTCATGTAATTCATGCGCAACGAATTATAATGTGGATTTTTATTTTAAATTCGACGAATATACGAAATTAGAATTTTTATTTGACAGCCCTAAAACACACAAACACACACACGTTTACTCGCTATGTAAATGGGGAAATGCTGCTCTATTATTCTATTCTATGTTTTATTCAATCAAGTCAAGTCACATTTATTTCTGTAGCGCTTTGTATTATGCAGATTGTGTCAAAGCCACTTCAAAGTAAATAAACAGGAAAATAACTATTAATGTTGTAAAATTCTTCAATTATTAATTTTAGCTTTAAATCAGCTCTACAGAAGACAGTAGTGTCATTTCAGCTCAGTTCAGTTCAATGTTGATTCAGTTCAGTTCAGTAACAGTGTCAATGTTGCAAATTGTCATTATCCACATCATCTCAGTTCAAATTTTTTGTGCTGTTCAAATTCTATTACTGTCCATACTTCTATTTACTATACATTTTATATAACTTATTTAATTATTTTATGTAACTAATTATAAATACTTAATAATATAACCAAATCCTCACAGAAATATGTCTGCATTTGTAGAATTAAAAAAAGCTAGTTTCAGTGTGTTTAGATCCATTTTTAAAGAGATTATTTTCATATGAATGTTTCAGTACTATTTCTAGTGCTCATAGTTAGGGTTACTCCTATCACAGTGTTATTTTAGTATCATTGATATGCTATTATAGTTTTTGTTAATATTTTGAAATATATTGTTTTTTTTTTTTTAGGAAAACTTCTAGTAATTTTGTTGTTGTTTTTGTTAGTCTGTATAGTTTTTTTTTATCAATTTTTGTTTATTAGTTTTGTTTAAATATTTTAGGTATTTTAGTACTTCAGATTAAATGAAAATGGGAAATGTTGCTTTGTTTATGTTTTATTATATTTTATTTCAGTTTACATTTTTTGTTATGCTTCATTATCTAATTAAAATGAAGTTGAAATCAAATCAAATATAAATATTATTAAAAACTAAGGCAACATTTCTTCATGTAGTTTAAGTTGAAGCACTAAACTTAACTGAAGCACAAACTGAAAATAAAATGACAAACTAAACTAAAACTGAAATAAAAATAAATATAACCTACAGAGTAATTTAAAAAAACGAATAAAAACAACAAACACATAACAAAATCATTAAAATATAACAAATTAAAATAAAAACAGAAAACATAAAAATACAAGCTAATTCAAAATATTAATAAGAACTATAATGGTATATAAATAATACTAAAATAACTGTGTGTGTGTGTGTGTGTGTGTAGCTCTGTACTGCAGGCGGTGCCATCTGTCCTGATGGAGACGGAAGCGGAGAAGGAGAACAGAGATTCAATGCACCAAACCAACACACACACACTCATCACACACACCTTCAGCACGCACGAGGAAGAGGACGAGGAAGAGGAGGATGACGACGACTCGCTGTTTACAAGTACGAGATCTGGCGGGAAATACAGCATGTGACTCGTGTGTGTGTTTATGTGAAATTAATCTGTGTGTGTGTGTGTATGTATGTGTGTGCAGGTACGCTTGCTTTAAGGATCTTACGGAAAGATTCGCTGGCGATCAAACTGAGCAATCGCCCGTCGAAGAGAGAACTGGAAGATAAAAACATCCTACCCATGATTACCGACCAGGAGCGGCTGGAGTCCAGACAGCAGATCGGCACCAAACTCACCCGGTGAGGAGACACACACACACACAC